TCACAGTGACAGCTGCTCTCACCTGCTCTTTGTGACAGTTTTCAATGCGAGTTGAGTTGCAGAACAATTACATTACTACTTAAGTATGGCGTTATTTTTGTGCCACTATTCTGAGCGCATAAAAAAAAATAAAAAAATTGAGCGCATGTAAAAAAAAAAAAATTTGCAGGTGCAAGTGTTGCATTTTGAGGAAAAATTTATTTTGAGCGAAGATAAGCTAAATTTGAGTGAACAAAATTCATTGCTACGTGCAAAAGATGTATTTCATTGTTTGCTTTTATCCACACACACACACACACACACACACACACACACACACACACACACACACCAGCAGCTCCTCTCGCTCAGTGTTTGCATTTGCGCTTGCTCACAGTTTACACAGCAATATTCTCACATGAAAATCTCTTAAAAGTTTATTTTGTGACCCAGAAAGAGTAATATTTCAAACTCCGCCACTCTGTGTTCCTCCGCCACTACCTCGTTTGAGTAAAATCTGATTGGCCGTTTTGCATCCAAGTCTGTGATTGGCTGGTTTTGTGGCACAAATATAATGGTGTACAGAAAGAGTTGAGCGCTCGCGGGCAGAAATGTTGAGAGCGCAAGCAACACATTGCGAGCAAGCGCAAATGCAAAAACTGAGCAAGAGGGGCTGCTACTGTGTGTGTGTGGATAATAGCAAACACTGAAATACAATTTTGCATGCAGCAATGGATTTTGTTCACTCAAATTTAGCTTTTCTTCACTCAAAATAAAATTCTCCTCAAAATGCAACACTTGCACCTGCAAATTGTTTTACGTGCGCTCACAATAGTGGCACAAAAATAACGCTATACTTAAAAAGTATGAAATAATCTGTGATACCTTTTGAGAATATCTAAACCATAGAACCAATGTAGGCTGGACCAAAGTTAAAGACATGCAGAACAGAACTACACATAATTATAAATCAGACAAACAAGAACAAAGTCCATGGCTCAGTCCCACAACGGAAAACTGGGAATTATTTTAAAGCATTTTATTTGAAGTGAACAAAGCCTTGAAAACTGCTTCAGTACATTCAGTTTAGTAGCTACTAGTGCTGTCAGCGCTGAGTCTGCCTTGAAAAACAGACACAGTCTAAACATTAATGAGTAACAATGTTTCCCTGCTTCCTCATTCTTATTCTGTCCTCCTCCCTTCAGGAGAAAACAGCTCAGTCCTTCAGTCCTTGTTTCCTCCCATCAACACCAGCACTACGTTAAGGAGGGTTAAATGACAAACAGCCAAACAGGAAGCCACAATTAGTACAATGTTAATGTACATTATTACATGTGTCTACAGGGTGTGACCAGCACAGCTTAGAGCACAAGAGTGATCTAACTGAGTGTGTGTGACCCTGATCCAGATCCCTCATTACCTACCTACAGCTGTGTCTTCACACCGGTTCCAGTGGTATGGCACAGGAAAACAGCACAGGGCTCACCTCCCCTCAAACACATACACACAGGCTTTTCTGCACATGCACACTCAGGAGCGTCCAACACAAGCTGCTGAAACATGCTGTCACAGCAAATAGGCAGCGAGGGAGTGTAGCAGCAACCTGACAGTACACTGGTGGGGATGGGGAGCCAGCAGCGGTGACGACTCCACACATGAACTCAGCAAAAACACAAATGACACAGAAACATCTTTGCAGAAAAGCTTCCTGACCGACACGTCTAAAATAGTTCTGCATGTGTTACACGGACAGGATAAACTCTTAACTCCTGGTTACCTCAAACTGCTTCTCAAGTCCAACCATAAAATCCCCTCATACACCAAAAAGATTCAGTTAAGGTGCTTTCTTACTGAAATCCACCCATATGGAAAAGAAATAGTAAAAACGTATAAAAGACTTGCATCAGATGTGGCCTACTTCATATAGTGAATCATATAAGGCTTATATGATTTACTCATGAAAGTGGCCACTTTCTCGTTACTTTCATATATTGTTTTAGTAAGTATCCAATACATACAAGTTTCATTTATATAATTTTTCAAGGGATCTTATATCTGTTTTCACTCTTGTATGCTTTTCATACAAGTTTCACACAAGACAGATACAAACTCTATATGATTTATATATAGGGATGGGTACCGGTAGTAACCAGACCGAAAAGCAGCGCACATTTTGGTGCTTTATTTCGGTGCTTTTTTTTTCCTGAGCTGTGATACACTTCTAGCCAATCATTTTACATTTCCGAGGATAGTAGGCGGGTCCAGGTACGTACGTTCTTTTAGAGCAGAGCTACAGATTAAAAATGCCCAAGGCGAAGCGGTCAAAAGTCTGGCTGTACTTCACAGCAAAATATGCAAACTCAGCAGCCTGCAACAAGTGCTTTAAGCTGATACTGTGATACTGTCAAAGGAGGTAACACCTCAAATCCAATGAAACACCTGGCGACGCATAGCGTTTTTTTTAAAAGCCCAGAAATGCGCCGTATTTGATAGCTTGCTGCGAGACCTCACACCGAGCACATCTGCTGCGGGTGTGGTGCCTGTTATCGGACCCGGAGTTAGCAACATCCCCAAAAACCCGAAGAGGAGAGTCCTGGGCCCTAGCCCTGCCAGTGTAGCAGAAATGATGATGGATGATGATGGCAGCAGCAGCTGTTCTTCTCTGCGTGAGTAGCTTAATCTTGTTCGTGTGTAATTTACGTTGAGTAGGCTAACCACGTTATTACATTAATGCATGTAAGGTGAACTAGCAAACACCATCATAGCTACATGCGGCTGTCTTCTTGTTTGATGGCAGATACTCCCTTCACCCTGGCCAAAAAGGCTAAAATGACCAAAGAAAAAGTGGAAAACAGTTAAACGTGAGAGGGTTTAAGTTTGTGTTTTTTCCATTGTTTAAGCACTGCTTCCAGCCAAGAGTGATACCATATATGCCCCATAGCTGCAGAAAAGGCTAACATTGTTATAGTTTTACAAAAAACAGCTGAACATGAGAGGTTTTTGGACAAAGTTGGTGTTCTCCATTCTTTAAGCACCGGCACCGTTTCAAAAGTACCAGTTCGGCACCGGTATCGGATAAAACCTAAACGATACCAATCCCTATTTATACATATCTTTTCCGTATGGGCATGCTTACCATATCATGCTCAATTCTTCAAGAACCAGCTGATGATCACCCTTAAGAAGTTTAATATAGAGTGTTTGATGTTCAGAGCCCTGCACCTGCAGACTTACATGAAGGCCCAAAATCCACAGAAATTAAATATCAGCCATAACTAGGGATGGGTACCGGTGTCATGGCACCGGTTCTGACATAAACGGTAGTAACCAGACCGAAAAGCAGCGCACATTTCGGTGCTTTATTTCGGTGCTTTTTTTTCCTGAGCTGTGATACACTTTAGATTCTAGCCAATCATTTTACGTTTCCGAGGATAGTAGGTGGGGCCAGGTACGTACGTACGTTCTGTTAAAGCAGAGCTACAGATTAAAAATGCCCAAGGCGAAGCGGTTAAAAGTCTGGCTGTACTTCATAGCAAAATATGCAAACTCAGCAGCCTGCAACAAGTGCTTTAAGCTGATACTGTGATACTGTCAAAGGAGGTAACACCAAGAATCTGATGAAACACCTGGCGACACATAGCGTTTTTTTTAAAAGCCCAGAAATGCGCCGTATTTGATAGCTTGCTGCGAGACCTCACACCGAGCACATCTACTGCGGGTGGGTTGCCTGTTATGCAACATCCCCAAAAACACGAAGAGGAGAGTCCTGGCCCCTAGCCCTGCCAGTGTAGCAGAAATGATGACGGATGATGATGGCAGCAGCAGCCGTTCTTCTCTGCGTGAGTAGGCTAACCACGTTATTACATTAATGCATGTAAGGTGAACTAGCAAACATCATCATAGCTACATGCGGCTGTCCTCTTGTTTGATGGCAGATACTCCCTTCACCCTGGCTAAAAAGGCTAAAATGACCAAAGAAAAAGTGGAAAACAGTTAAACATGAGAGGTTTAGGACAAAGTTTGTGTTTTTTCCATTGTTTAAGCACTGCTTCCAGCTAAGAGTGATACCATATATGCCCCATAGCTGCAGAAAAGGCTAACATTGTTATATTTTTACAAAAAACAGCTGAATATGAGAGGTTTTTGGACCAATTTTGTGTTCTCCATTCTTTAAGCACCGGTTTGAGCACCGTTTGAGCACCGGCACCGTTTCAAAAGTACCGATTTGGCACCGGTATCGGATAAAACCTAAACGATACCCATCCCTAGCCATAACATTAAAATATTCTCACGTTGCAGTCTGGCAGGGCACACACACTCAACCCAGGAAGGTGTTCATGGTGTCTGGAAGCAGGTAAACTGGGACTGGGGATATATGGACTGGGTTGGCTCTACACACCAATCCACTGCCACCAGCTCTGACTGAGATCTAGGGTCAACACCACTGCTGCACAACATGTTCCTGTTATACTCCCATCAGAGTGTATACAAGAACCAGAACGCACACACACGGGTGTCAATGCACTGAAACACACATGCATGGACTGAGATGGACACGTTCATTTTATTGCTACAGTAATCGCACATGTGTGGGATGGAACTGCAGGGGCAACAACAACAATGACAGAAGAGGTGCAAAACAGGTCAACACACCTGATTATTGAGACAGAGCGCACACATCAGCTGTGGAAACAAAGAAAATGAACACGTGGATATTAGAGCTGTCAGCGTTAACATGTTAACGCAGCATCAGGATTAACGTGATTCGAATCTTTAACCCATCTGCAGCGCAGCACGGACAAACTTCGGCCAGACTGCCTGAAATGTGTTGACAGAGTCATTGCAGGGATTTTGAGTCACTCTGCGCTCCAGACGGGTTACATGTGCTACACATTTGAATTGTGATGACACGTTAACGCTGACAATCCTACTGGATATCTGTGTCACGTGGACACATACGTGTCCAAGGACATCCACTCTCACTTGATCTCACAGAATGAAAGCAGAGCAGGTTTACTCACTGTCTTCTCCGGGGCAGAGCATTCCCGGCTGCTCTGGAATACTGGGGAATACTGGAAAAACAGGAAAGGAAAGCAGACATTTGTTGTTGTCCTCATACCAAGCAGCACAGTTTGTTTTGTCAATGGAACCAAAAATGTCATTACTTCTATTTGAAGAAAAGACCGTGTGAAAGGTCAACGAGCAGAACTTGTCTGTTTTCACACACACATATAGAGTCAAACAGCATTCCTCCTGAGTGAGATGGTTTCCACCCAGAGTGGACGGGTTCATACACAGTGCTTCCTGCTGAGCTCTGAGCGCAGGCTTTTATACAACAGGTTCACCCACTCATACCTTTTCTAACATTCACACTCCTTTGGATGCAGACACTTGGGGTTTGAATCTTGCCCAAGGGTTTTTGGCAGCCGGGTGTTGACTCTACCTTCTGAGCTACAGCCACCCCGTTAATACAGTTTTTAAAAAAGCAGTGTGGCATGCATTAAATTTAAGTAATCTTATCTGATATCAGTATTTACAGTATGGACAGGTAAGCTTACACTGGCAATGTTATTTCAGTCAGTCTTAACTCAGAGGCCTGAGACCTGAATACTTAAGTATGATGCATGTGTTAGAAGAAACAGGAACAAACAAAGTTCAAGCTGTTTTATAGACCCTACAGGAACTCCGCTGAAATAAAACTCGGGGCTAACTCCATGGCTAATGGTGACTAGCCAGCAGTCCAGCATTGGACCAACACCATGCTTAAGCACCTCCTACCAGAACAAACCATAGAAACATTAACTCACATTAACTCGTGAAAGCAAAAAGAAGATACTATAATTATCATTTTAAAAATCATGGTAATTAGTAAATATATAAAATATCCAACCACTTAAAAATACACACTACCGCTCAAAAGTTTAAGAAAACCCAAAATTTTCCAGTTTTTTATTGAAAGTGATGCAGTTTATTGTCTCATTGAACTCTGAAATGAAAGCATAGCACAAATAAGTAATTGGAGTTAAAAAAGAAATCATGGAATCAGTTTATAGACCAAAGTGTATTCTAACCTTTAACCCATCAGAGTAGCCTTCTTTGGCAGATATAACAGCTGAAGACAGTCGTGGCTTCTTTCTACAATAGAAATCAAATATTCTCCCATATCTGTAGCAGAAGTTCCCATAAACGTGGACCTTGTAGGCTGCTTTGCTTTCACTCTTCTGTCCAGTTCAAACCAGCTCGATGGGGTTTAAGTCTGGAGACTGTGCTGGACACTCCGTGTGTTCAAGCTCACCACCTTGTTCTTTGTTCCTGAGGTAGTTCTGGCACAGCTTGGATCTATGTTTTGGGTCTTTATGTTGCTGTAGGATGAAGCCTTGACCAACTAGGCTCATACCAGAGGGTCCTGCATGGTGCTGCACAATGCTGTGGTACGTGTTTTGGTTCAGGGAGCCTCTCACTCTGTACAAGTCACCGACCCTGGATCCAGCAAACAGCCCCAGACCATCACACTTCCTCCTCCATGTTTGACGGTTGATACCACACACTGTGGAACCATCCTTTACCTACTCGACCACAAAGATCCTGTGTGATGAACACAAGATTTCAAATGTTGATCCATCAGTCCATAATACCTTCTTCCAGTCTTCAGCAGTCCAATGGTGGTGTTTCACGGCCCAGCCAAAACTGAGACTTTCTTACTACGACCACTGTAAAGCTGCTTGAAGCTGTTGTCCTGTGAGCTGCCCATCACACAGCTGTTAACTCTCAGAAACTTGTCCTCTGATTCAGTCGTATCTTTGGGTCTGCAGACCTCTTCCTGTCACAGTTTGTTTCTGAGCCTTTGGATGTTGAAGGAAACTGGACTCACTGACACCTTGACTTTCTTTGCAGTTTCTCTGTAGGACAGACCGACATTTATACGTGTTATGATGGTCTGTCTCTCTTCCATTGTTAATCACCTTTTTCTCCCCATTCTTGTACCATCACACTACTTTCTGCAGTACAACACTGTTCAACGGATGCTGACGAGCGTATGGTACCACAGTGTGTTGCAACACTGCTTTAATGCAGACAGAGGGGGAGGGGGGGGGGAGTAATCCAGGAAAGTTGGAACAGCTGTAGGAATTAGTAGCTCCAGCTTTCAAGGCTTGATCAACCTCCATTGCTGCAGAACAGATTAAATTGTTAACCCATGAAAAAGGCCTTTTTGTTCTAAGATGTACGTGATTTTTCAGTTGTGGGTAACCTTACCTTTGTTTTTAACCTCTGGCAGTTCACCCTTTGTACCATTTTAAACTATTCACTGAACTTGAACGACTTGAATTGCAATAAATAACTGGAAAAATTGGGGTGTTGTAAACCTTTGACCGGTAGTTTACTCCTGGAAATATGCATGCAGATCCTCTTTAATGAAAAGTTTTCCCAAACTCACCATGCAACAGTAATCCAGACCTTTTGGTTCGACTGTAAATCCGTAGCGCCTCCTCTAGCTCCATCTGAGAGGAGATGGTGCACGGGTCCCCTACACAGACAAACACATGCATGCAATCTTATCAATATAATCTTCTGATCAGGACTACAGACTGTTCGAGGTTTAACAGTCCAATTCAGTTTAAGTTCTCAGGAGTTTTTACTTTTGACTGGGGCTGCAACCATCGATTAGAGTAATAGTAATATGTAATAGAGTAATCTATCCTTAATTTATCAAGTAAACTGAATTTCCCAGAGGAACCCACCTGAAGGATTAATAAAGTTTCATCTAACCTAAGTAATCGGACTCTGCTTGTCCCCATATTCAACCATCTAGCACGATGTGCCAGGACCTGTCTGTACACCTCTGAGTTATATCAAGCAAAAGAAACATTTGTGCAGCCAATATCCACAAAGGCAACAACTTTGTAACAACAAAGGACTGTTCCCAGGCCACCCCACCCATCTGAGTGATCTGAGTAGAAAACCTTACTCAAGGAGCGGACTAAAACCCCGACGGTCACTCTGGTGGAGTGCTGCAGAGAAGCTTCTCCTCTCTGGAGCTCTGTCAATCAGGCTTTTTTGTTCGAGCGGCCGAGAGAAAGAATAAATGAATGCAGCAGTGCACACACATCCTTCATGATAACCAAAGCACTCGGGCCTTGGACAAAGGTTCAGCAACATCACAATGTGGCTCCAGAGCCACATTGTGATGGTGCCCAGCCAGAGCCCAGACTCGATGTGAAGATGGCACCAATGCTGCCCGTCCCCCGTGATGGAGTCTGAGAGGACAAAAGACGGGAAACAGCCAGGCTTACAGTGCCATACCCAGTCCTCAGACTGTAAGTGCTGCCAGAGGTGCTCCAAAGCAAACACTGTGACTATCCATGTACATGATGTGTTTTTATTTGTGATACATTTTCTTTGTTATTATGGGATGTGCTGTGTGCAGAACATTAAGGAGAAAAATAAAGTCTCATTTCCAAGGACAAACATGGAAAAACAAAAGTCGCAGGTCTTTGTTTCTATCACTTTTTTATCTTGACAATATTAGACAGCATCTCTTTGAATTACTGTGGTGTGTTTGGTAACAATGCTAATGATCAGTCACTGTGACTGTGAGTATTTCCATTGTAGTCGAGGCTTAGTGGACTTGAAACAAAATAACAACATTTATTTGGTTTATTCATCATAAACTGTGTGACAAATGTTGGATCCATTTTCCTGACACAGCTTTGAGGGAAATGTGCAGACAGTGAAGTTACGATAACACAGGAACTTGTAGAAAGTCCACTTGCTCCTCACTGTGTCGCTTCTGTGCACAGTCTGCATTGTCAGTCTGCGTCTTTGGACAGCCTTTCGCATGGTGTGTGACATTTATGCTAGCATAACATAACTACTTAATACTACCAACAACAACTCGGGTACTGTCCAGGAGCTGCAGGATACTGTCACATCATCAAAGTGAACCTGCTGTGTCTCAAAGCCTATTTGCACTGGATGGTGTGTTTTTGCCTCAAGTGGTGACACAAGTTTAATGTTTCCACCTATCACAGGAACAGTTTTCATGTAGATTTTGCCAACCATGGTGCTTTAATGGAGGGTATTGAAATAGCTGACCTTCTCTGTCTCTCTCTACAATAAACAGAGACATTCTTATAGGACACTTCACTGTCTAAGCTAACACAGCACAGACATGCTTCGCCCTGCACCGCTTTATTCTCTGTTACGTGACATTCATCACTGATTGTGTTTTTCACATACAAATGCTGCTCTCAGTGCAACAAGTGCCACACCACACTCTGATGTGACACACACACAACCCAGAGAGTCTCTGCTGTGAGGGTACCCTGCTACATGGGACACTTATCAGACAAACCGGCTGGGTGCAGGGTATTTTTCAAAAATATGAAACTGTGCACTGGAATCATTAATACTCGTCTGTTTATCAGTTGGTTTTGATTGATAAGCAGCTTGTATTTTTTACAGGAGACGCCCACAAAGCCAAAACTGACCAGGAGACCAGGCAAAGTGAATGGCAACAATGCAGGCTAAACATGTGTCAGGTGGGGAATGTTAACAGACGCCTCAGAGTCAAGGCTGTGAAGAGAGGCTGGGAGGTTGTTCCAGAATTTTAGAGCTAAGGACAGGAATGTACAATTCCCTATAGTTTTCACAGGAAGTCTAAGAATCTGGCTTGGAAAATAGAGGTGGAGTAGTTTGAAAATATAGGTGGGGTCTCATCTCCTACAGCCATGAAACCAAAAGTAAAGTGAAACCTGACAGGAAGCCTGTGCAGAAACAATGACAAGGCTGAGGACCTGTGACTGTGAGCAGTGTTGGGGAGTAACGGAATACATGTACCGCCGTTACGTATTTAGAATACAAAATATGAGTAACTGTATTCCGTTACAGTTACCGTTTAAAAAGGTGGTATTCAGAATACAGTTACTTTGTTGAAATAAATGGATTACACTGCGGTACTTTCCTGTTTCATTTTGTCGCGGGTCAGGACTGTTTGGGTTTTGTTTGACAGCTACGTTCTTTTGTTCCAGGCGGCAGCGTTACGGTTGCCATGGTTACAGGGCGACGCTCTCTCTCTGCGACTGTGTGTTTCCTGGGTGAGAGAGCGCCTTTTCGTTGTTGTTGTTGTTGTGCTAAGCTAACAGGCAGAATGCTACAAGCATAGCTCTAAAGAATGTAGCATCATGTTCAGTGTAGTCCGTGCTGCTGGGAGAATGGACTGCCATACACGTTATGTGTCTGTGAGCGCTAGGAGGGAGAAAAAGGGGAGTGGAAAGGTACGAGCAGTCATCGAGGAAAAACGGGAGCTGGAAGCATGTAAATATAATAATAACCACTTCAGCCAAGAAGAGAGCCTGACGAGCCCAGTTGTAAGTAAGCTATTAAGACTCGACTGTACACTGTGTTCGTGTTTTCCTCCGAAAACAAGTTCCGTTGGAGCAGCCTTTCAACGCCTCTCTCTGTCTGTCGCAAGAAAAGTTGACCCACACAACAAAGTAGAGCTATTTTTCGGCTACCAGCCGACAGGGACCCCGCCGTATTATGCTGGGCTTACACTGTGCGATTTTTTCAGTCGCGCGATTCAGCTCCTGCTCAAACTGTACGATTGACTCGCAGGGGTTAGAAGTTCATAGGTCACGATGCAGGGTCTCACACTATACGGCCCGATGCTCTGATGCGACCTGAGTGCTCACACTGTGCGTCCATAAAAATGAAGGTTATAACAGAGCGATTGATGATCGGGAGCTGGTCGTGAGGTGTCAATCGCTTCTCGTTACCCCACGTATACTACACGATGCACGACGCACGATGAAGGCCAAAATCGGGCCGATCGCCAAAACGATCGCACGACTCAAAAATCGGCTCAAAATGGGCCAAAAATCGCACAGTGTGAGCCCAGCATTAGTCAGAGGTCCCTTTACTACAGTTCGGAGTCGCGGACCTTCAGTAATAGTAATAAATCACACAGCAATAGTACATTCACGTTGTTGTAAAAAGCATGATAATATTGTAGCGGGTCAGGGCTGTTCGGGGTTCTGCTTGTACAGTTATGTTTTGTGTATGTTGCCATGGTGACGGGTGACGCCCTCTCGCTGCGACGGTGTGTCCTTCCGGGGTCAGAGGGCGCCCTATGTGTGTTGTGGTTGCCGCGCTGAGCAGTTAGCTAGTGGCAGTGTGTTCTTCTGCAAATGTAATAAACGGCTGTGCTCCCTGGCTAGCTCACGGGAAGCAAGACCAAACGATACCTCCGTCTCCTCCTTGTCTGAACTCGCCACAATATATTAAGTAATCCAAAGTATTCAGAATACGTTACTGTCATTGAGTAACGTAACGGAATACGTTACAGAATACATTTTGGGGCATGTATTCTGTATTCTGTAATGGAATACATTTTAAAAGTAACCTTCCCAACACTGACTGTGAGGCACACCCACCTTCATCATCGATCCATTTGAGTGTGATGGGCTGCTGGCTGGCAACACTGCACATGGTTTTCACCTCCTCACACAGTTCCACAAAGGTTACTGTTGCAGCCAAGTCTGTGATTAAAATGTCCCTGAAAGCACACAAACACAAAGACGTCAGGACCCAGTCGCTCTGTCGCCTCTGCAGACATTCCTCTTTGGCCCAATCAGCTGTTATCCTTTAAAGCAGGGGCTGGAGCTGTCGTCTCATTGGAGGGCCGCTTTAGTGTTCAAGTAGTACAAAAGAAAGAAACAATTAAACACCCACAAATATTAGTGAAAATGTAGTGTTTTATACAGTATTTAAATTTAAACTTAAATGTTTTAGGGTATTTACACTGGGACAAGTCTGACAGAGAGAAAGATGTTGGCTGGCCTCTGCAGCGGAGTTAATGATCCACTATGGGCCCAGGACTGTGGGCTCAGGTCTGTCTTAACGGTGCACCAACTGACACAATCACACTAAGTGTTACAAGTGTGAACTGAACCACCCACTCAATCCACTCACAGCCGAGAAAGATAAGCACCAAGTTTCTCTTTCTTAACTGTTTTCAGACTGTACTGAACAATATCTGTTACCTTTAGGCATTAAATAAAGTGCTGCCTTGATCTGGACCACCTCCTTATTCCAGGCCGTTTTTACTTGAGCCCAAACACTTTGTGTCTGGTTGATGATTTCTTGCTGTAACACTGCTTCTTGGCAGAAATCGTACACCAGTGGAGTGGAGCTCCCTGTTAAATGGATCTGCTTGTAGGGAAATGTTGAGCAGCAGAGTGGAGCAGGTGGATTGTGCCCACAGAAAACTTGCCAAATGTTCTCTGCCAATGCCAAGATTAACAAAAAGGAAATATTCAACCCAACAGGTCCTTTCTTTCTGTGCTAAGGTTGTATAAATCCACAGAACGATGGATGACATGTACGAGCCAATAAGCATGGCTGAATCTGTCGGCCTGAAAAAGAAAGCACTGATTTCATATCAGCACTGACCTCACAGCCCTTATCAGCTGTCAGCATTAAATAAGGGTGCGTATATTGAGTGTCAACATCGGCCTCAGTGCTGTGCTGCTGATTGGAGCAAAGTCTGCAGCCTGCACATGCCACACTGTTAGAATAAACCTTGAGTTAGTCAGCTGTGTGTTAGAGCTGCGTGAGCAGGTGCTGCACTGACAGCTCCCAGGCAGTGTGTCGGGCAGGTTTCTGGGTGTGTGTGCACAACAGTTTATGGTCAGTGATTGTTGGACTCTGACGAGGTGGGGCACAGACAGCTTGCTTCCCAGCAGGCATTGCTCCACGCAGCCGGCCGACACACAGGTCAGCGTGGAATTACATCACACATACACACCGCGCTTTGTTTATCATGCTAGCTCATATTTACCCAGAAGCTCTTTGGCTTTAAACAGCTCTCATTAAAATGTGTTTAATGTCATTTAAACGGTGCCACAGTTTTGGGTGTGAATGCATTACTGTCATCCAACATCACACTGAACAGTTTACAGTGCATCTCTCTTTTTACCAGAAAATCTGAAATTATTACATATTTTAATTCAACTAATGTGGATTCAAAGCAGCCAGGAGTGAAATCCTGAGAGGCAGCACATCATCAGCAAGAGCTACAGACGGAGGCAGAGCAGTGGGAACTGTGAGGCAGAACATTTAACTTTAAATACATTAAAAATCACTGACAGGTGGAGCCCACAGAGAGAGCACCTCAAACAAAGTGTTTCTCTTTTTGTTGTTCATGATCCAGGACCAGTGAGTGCTGTGTTACACATCTGTATTTACCCACATCTGTACAGCTTCCATCATGACCTGCTGCTGTAATCATTTCATTATGAAGTTACGATTACATTACTTCTGTTGTTGCAGGATGAGATTAAGGTTTCCCCATGGTACACATATACTCAACTGAAAGGAACGTTTACTCAAATATAACCTCTAGCACTGCCTTCCATTACACATGATATTGGTAGAGTTATTAATATTACTGTTATTGGGAGTAGTAGTAGTAGTAAAATGTGTGGTAATTTGCTGTGTGAATTACATAATGTTTCATTGTTTTATTCACCTGCAGCAGGAGCAGCACTGAGCTTTCAGTGGGAGCTGTTTACACTGACTGTTGTGCTGTTTCCCACTCAGCAGCAGCTCCTGTCTCTACCACTACACTCTTCACTCTTTATGCATTAATGCAAACACTGCTATAACAATGTTATTAACTCATTAATAAGTAAGTAGCTAAGTAATTCCACTCGATAAGTAAAAGTTGTTTTTTATGATATAAAATGTCTCCAGAACAGGAGGAGATGTGAGCAGCATGAACTCTGGTTATCCTCCCGTCTGCAGTATTCCTGTGAAACCCTTCCTGCTCTGCTGTTGTAATAAACTCAAACAGCTGAAGCCAAATGTGCATTAAACTCTCTCAGTCTGTAACTAAAGGTTAGCTGAATGCTGACCCTTGCACTGTGTGAACATACTGAAGAATGCTCTCAGGGATTGGTCATGTATCAGAGCATAAACATGCAGCACCGTGATCTTTGACCCCACTGATGAGAACACTTCACACACCTCAGTGATTGTGTGCTGGGTCAATCACACGCTGCATTACTGACTTTAGTTTTCACAGAAACTTTCTCTACTTTGAACCTTTTTGGGGAAACTCCATAAAGACCAACACAAGTTGTTATACCACTCAAATAAATCCAGGTTTTAGTCAGATCCCTGCAGGGTCGGCACATCTGTCAGCAGCTGTAAGTCATCTCAGACATGATGCTGACAGCCTCCACTCATCCTACTTATTCATATTGTTTGCTATTGTTTACTATCACTGACTTACTTGAATGAATGTCATTCACATCATTTGCATAAAGTTATGCATGCTGCAGAGGGAATGTTATTAGCAATAAGAATATATATTTAATTAGGACGATTCATTTCAAAGAGTCAGGTAAACATTGAATTGTTGCCTTACAGATAAAAGAAGTGGGAAACACTGGACTGGTTTGTCCCCTGATATCAATATTTACAGAACAGCTCCGGCTTAAGACACACTTCAGTGATTAAAACACACACACACACACTTAAAACGATTTGGGACAAATCAGATTAAGGTATCTTCCAGTTGGCCTGTCTCACACGTAGCGCACAACACGAAAGACTGCAAAGACTGTATGTGGATGCTACACACCTGACTCCCACTCGTGCTGGAAAAACCCACTCCACTCCCACGCCGCCCCAAACGTTGGCAGAATGAGTCTGGGTAAATGCATCTGTAGCAACAAACGTGCTCAGACGCCGGGTTGCTGTAGAAGCAGCTCTTTGGTGCTGGTTATCACCAACACAGAGTGAAGCTGGGCCTGAACCGTCTGCTGTGCAGCAGGTAGATCAGGCAGGAAGCTGAACACAGAGAAAGGCTGACTGTCTGAACTCAACATGGAAAATCATTTCAGAGCGTTGTGATTAAAGATTATACTGGTAGGATTAACCTGAACCACACTGGTGACATCACAACTGGCTCCTTTACACACAGGCCTCCAAAAATATGTGGAAGGGTTTTAACACAGCGAGAGCTGAGCAGCGTTTCTGAGCCAGAGTTTGGAGACAACAACAACAACAGTGCTGACATTCAGAGGAAACATGTGATGGTTTAGTCACTCGGTCGGGATCTCCTCTTACAACAGAACAGAAGAATACTCATCACATCCATATTTAAGCACAATGCCCCTGTAAGGGGGATAACTAGATTAAAGCATCAAATCATCTACTGCGGGGTCAGAGGTCAGAAGACAGTAGGCTCGACCGGGGAATCAGAAGAAAAGACGTGATGAGTTTTGAACAGAGACAGCGCCATCAGCAAACAGGTGTGACGACTGGTCGCTATGGGGACTCCTGCCCCACACGCGTGTCTGTGTCTCAGGTTCAGACTCAGAGAGCCTGGCACACAATAAATCTGTGAGCAGCAGAAACTTCTAGTCTACAAAACAGTCATCACTGATGTTTGTGGCGTTCATCACACAGACGCTGTGACAGTGCAGAGGCAGCCCGCCACGCTGGTTTCACAGGAGCACACTGTGGCAGAAGACACCAGGCTGCACCGTGTGCAGAACCACACCGGTGCATACGCTCGGCACACTGTGTTATTCCAGCACTCATTCACTCAGTGAAACAGCAGTATACAAGCAGATTAATGGGATAAATACTTGCTGTGTCTCATCTTCAAACACAAACTAAGGACAGTGTGATATAGTCATCATCATCCATTCTCTTCAGGATCGCGGGGGGTGGAGCCTATCCCAGTTGTCATGGGGAGAGAGGCGGGGTACACCCGGACAGGTTGCCAGTTTGTCACAGGGCTAAAACACAGACACACACAACCATTCACACCTGTGGGCAATTTAGTGTCACCGACTAACCCCACTGACTGCATGAGTTTGGACTGTGGGAGGAAGCCGGAGTAGAACCCACGCAAACACACGGAGAGCAAAGTCCACAGAAAGACCCCGGCCTGATGTTGCTGTGAGGCAACAGTGCTAACCGCCGCGCTGCCCATATCTGCGTCTCATCTTGAACCACAAACTAAGGACACAGGCCAGTGCCATGTAGCTGTCATGCTAGCTTTAACCGTCGACCGTTACGATGCTGATTCTCATGTTTTAACTTTTAGATTGCACCTTTTTACTCTTGAGTGAAGATGTTGTTTCATTTTGATGTAAATATTTTTTCCCGTCACAAACTGAACATATGTTGTACACAGCTGTGTTTTAAATAAACAGCATTGGTATGTGCAATAAACTAAAACTAACCAATCAGAAAATCCAAGTGTTGTAGGAAATGAAACTAAACTCTGAGTGTGTCTTTGTTGTAAGGTGTGGGGCAGGATTCTGTACCTGGGAATGTAAAGTCGTACACTGAGCATGTAACAGCCGGGAGTCAACCCGGCACAGTCAACAATCTGGGCCGCTTTGGAAAATATGAAGGAAGGCATACATTTTGGACTTTTAGCTGTACTTTCACAAGTTTTACAACTTTATCTTTATTGATACTCATGTTACACCAAAGTAATTAGGTAACAGGTACACAAAACAGAACCACACATAGCAGAGTATCGTCTGCTTCGTCCAAACATCTTTCAAAAAGTGTCAAACAGAACAAAGTCTGGACACTGGGCTGTCATGATGGACAGTTTTGTACTTTAGCTGTTCATATCTTAATGTTTGACCATCACATTATTATGAATGTGTAGCACAAACACTGTCTTTGCTAACGAACAGAAAAACAAGGATTGAAGAGAAAGACGTAATACATAGCAGACTGCTAAGTCTCTGGTTTGAGACTGCTCCACCTAAACACAGTTTGGGTGGAGGCACAAGAAGCCGAAAAAGCGCCCGAAGAATAATAAACCTAAATCTGTGAGTGGATTCTGTAATGCAAAGATGGCAGTGTGTTTGCTCCTCGCTCTCACGAGGTCACCAGCAGCACGTGTTGTTTTCCACATTTACACAAAAGTAGTTTGGAAAACTGATCACACTGTGAATGTTTCCCCAAGTGCAGTCGCAAAGACATCAAGCGCTACAATGACACTGAGCGCCCCAGCAAAGGAAGACCAGCAGTCACCTCTGCTGCTGAGCATATAGACATGACCAGCCTCAGAAATCACAGATTAACAGCAGCTCAGATTAGAGCCACACAGAGCTCCAGTAGCAGACTCATCTCTACATGTTCAGAGCAGACTGTGTGAATCAGGCCTTTATGGTCAAAGAGCTGCTGAGAAACCACGACTCAGGAAAAGCAACAAGGAGCAAAGATTTGTTTGGGCCAAGAAACACGAGGAGTGGATATTAGACCAGTGGACATCTGGGCTTTGGTCTGATGGGTCCACATCTGAGATCTTGGGTTCCAAAAGGTGAACGGAGGGTCTCTGCATGCACGGTCCCCACCGTGAAGCATGGAGCAGGTGTGATGGTGACACATCTATGTGCCAGCAACCATTATAGCGCATTATTACAGCTCCAGTACTACAGTCAGTATAAATGAGACCATATCACCCTAACTGTTCAACAGGTTGCCCATAGGAGCCAGGGTAAAGTGTAAAATCTTAGTCCTCACATTAAAGTGCATCCATTACCTTGGCCTCCTTATCTGTGTGATCTGCTTCATATCTCCACTGTTTCCTGCTCTGTCAGAGCTTTCACTCATATTGTTCCTTCTGCTCGTCTGCCCACTGTGGGAGCAGAGCTTCAGTCGCTGGGCTCTGGACTCACTTCCTCCGCTCATTAGAAATATAGATTCCCTCATTTAAGTCACAGCTCCAAACCTACTTGTTTAAACTGGTTTACTTTAGTACAGATCTTACTCACTGTCAAATCTTTGTTTTTATTTGATGTTTTGTTTTTTGTTTTTAATCTAAGGCACCCTCAAATAAAATGTATTTTTATTTACTTATTTATTTGTGTCATTTTGGCAGCATTTGGGGCATTTTCAGGCCGTGTGCTCTAACAAACTCCTCCTGGAGATGTAATTGGTTCAACCTAAAGATCCTGCAAAGCTTTTGAGTTTTTGGTTTTGGAGCCCTCCGTGACGGGACGTCACACCTCCAGTCCAGTCTGTCCCACACACGTGTGTCAGTATTAGGTTACACTCAGGCTTCATCAGATATACGTGAGATTTTCACTGTGGACTCGATATCATATGTGACATACACATGGCGTGTAATCTGCGTGTTCTGTCATGGTGATAGTACACGGACTGTTTTTTCTGCTTCCACGATAATAAACTTGCCTCGTTCATACAAACACTGTTCCTGCGTGATGAGGTGATTCCACAGATGACTGCAGGAAACCTACCTCTAACCAGCAGCGGCCCACTTCCACTGCACCTCCACATGTGCCCATCATCAACACAAACGCTGACTTTATGTGAGGGTGAAAAATATTCTCGAAGCTTCCTCTGATGTCATTTTTCACGCACACAGTGGGTTAAACACAGGTGCCACAGGTACTAAAGCCTCTCTGACTCACGAGCTCCAAGAAGCCCAGGCTGCGTGCTGAATAGCTGTTAGTGTCCATTCCACAGGTGTTTCCTACTTACTCACGGAGAGTTACTTACCCGCAGTAGTGCGCTTTAATCTTCACAAACTCCGAGTTCAGGTCCATTATGGATCCGTTTGACGCTAGCATATGCATCGTACAGTTCAGCTCCCCCGTGTCTACGTGAACAGGCCCACGCTCGCTGTGTGATACGTGGATAGAAAGTGGTTTCCACTCGCAGATGACAGAGGACCCTGTACGCCCAGTGCGCTGAAAACTAACCCGAGCGGAGCCGCTTCAAACTTTCTGTCGTTAAGGTAACATCGGGTACTTTGGGGAAGTCTGTCACGTCCCGTGAATAACGGCGGTGTTTCCGGCCCCAGCTTTCAGAATAAAAGCTAATGCGCAAGGTTTAAAGAAGCGCTCTTATTCTGAAACGGAAAACTCTTCACCTGTCATCGGTCGAGCTCGGAGTGTGGTCACACTTGACGGGCTTTCTTCCGGTTCACTATGGTTACCGTAATCTAAATTCACCTGTTCACCTACCGGGGCTTCCCGCCTGTCCCGGCAAACACCGTGCTAATAATCTGAAAGGATACGGACAGTGTGCGGTCGGGTTCATGACTACTGTTCTCTTTTTATGCAGTTTTTCCTCATAGAAATGATCCTCAAATACTGTAACTAATACTCTAATATGTTCTTCTCAACTCCCAGCGTTACAGCCTGTTCCTACGACATATTTAAATAAACAATCACATTAAATGTACGCGTTCATTAACACTGTGGTCAGTATCACGCGATCCGTACGGTGGCCCTGTAGTGATCCGTGTACACACCAGGTAAGGGCAACCTCTGTACCGGCAAACAGAAAAAACCCGACATAACCAGTCGTGTTAATATGGTGTTTAGCGCCCCCTAGTGGTTAATGGCAAAAACGTTATATGCATGAAGTGTGGAAAGTGACGCTGTAATGCTTTAATGGTCGGTGCTGAGCCCAGAGGGGAAGCTGTTGTGTTTGTGCATCAAAAACCAGAACAGATCGTCCTTCTGCAGAGGCTGAAAGTACGGACACTGCCCCTGCTCACCGAGAGGAGCCCGCAGACCGCGTAACCGTCTGAAGGATACCGCCTTGACACCTCCCAGATAAGAAGGGCACACTGAGCCAAACCCAGGACACGCTGGGGAGATTGTTTCGTGGCTATTTTAGGGACACCTCGATGTCCCCCAGAAGAGCTGCAGCGGAGGAGAGAGACATCCGGGTACCCCGACGAGCAGCGGATGGAGGATTCACGAGTTATTAAGTAGTTCACTGTTTCACATTTAGCGCCATAATTATTTGGATAAAGTAACAACTTTGGTCGTTTTGCCAGCCTATACCATCAGAGTGATCAGAGACGTAAATATCAGGAAAAAATGGAAATGAAAATCCAAACCTGTGAGGACTGAGAAGCTGAGTTTGCAGCTCCAGACAGACTATGAAGATGTTCACCCTGAGTTAATTGCATGGGTCAGTAATTTACTAATAACAATAATAATTAGTGAGGTCTGACACCAGGATTCACTGCCTGAACGGCTAAGTAAAGAGCAGTTGGCCCTGGGCCCACATCCAGATCTATACTGCTTTTACAAAATCAAATTATTACCTGATAGAGTACAGTAATCAGATATTACCTGATAGATTACAGTAATCAGATATTACCTGATAGATTACAGTAATCAGTAACCTGATAGAGACCAAACAGACATAACAAGATAAAGATAAAAAATATGAACAAAACTGATAAGATATAACAGTCAATATAAGCTTTGGTGAGTTCAATCTAAAGATGATGATATTATGTGATATTAGTAAGACACAGGATGATGGACTTTGTTGATTTTCAGTGAAAAAGATATTGAGGTTTGATTTTTAGTTGTATTCAAAATGCTGTTTAATAGCACTTACTGACTATGAAATTTCAAAATAAAATGCTATCAGAGAACATTCAGACTGGGTTCAAAAAGTCCTCAAACAGGGATTCATTGGTTTGTTCGTACCCTCAAATATGACCCATATGAGTTTTTCCAAAATGAGCCCATACAGGTCACAGGACGCAGCTGCAGCATGGTGCCATGCAGATGTAGTACGTGGCACGATTTGCATTTTAAGCTTGTTTCCTGGCATCTAACGCAGCTCTGCACGAAGAGAAGGCAACCAGCTCTCACTAAATGGACGACAGGCCTTTTCTACTCTAATTAAACACTCCAGCACATTCTACACGTGATCTCACACAAACATAAGTATTGTCTTTATTGTGCAGGCACATCGACAAGCAGATATATGGTAGACGGCTTCGGAACAAACATTACAAATTAGAAATAAATAAACGTGACTAGTAGTAGAGTTTGAAAATGAAAACTTTAAAAATCCACCAATGAGCCTGACCAGTTTAAACTGAGTCATCCATTAATCAGCTGACTGTGGTTAAGTGGGCAGGTGGATGACTTCCCTGCCTCTCCACTTGTGCCCAGTGACACCTCCTTAAATGAACATGAATACAAGCATGTCAGTGTTGCTATAGTGAAGGAGGACACATATGATAGTTTTACACAGCAGCATCAATCTGTGCCTCCTACTCTTAATGTGTTAGCTACAGTGGGGCAAAAAAGTATTTAGTCAGCCACCGATTGTGCAAGTTCCCCCACTTAAAATGATGACAGAGGTCAGTAATTTGCACCAGAGGTACACTTCAACTGTGAGACACAGAATGTGAAAAAAATATCCATGAATCCACATGGTAGGATTTGTAAAGAATTTATTCGTAAATTAGGGTGGAAAATAAGTATTTGGTCACCTCAAACAAGGAAAATCTCTGGCTCTCACAGACCTGTAACGTCTCCTGTAAGAAGCTTTTCTGTCCCCCACTCGTTACCTGTATGAACGGCACCTGTTTGAACTCATCATCTGTATAAAAGACACCTGTCCACAGCCTCAAACAGTCAGACTCCAAACTCCGCCATGGCCAAGACCAAAGAGCTTTCGGAGGACACCAGGAAAAGTATTGTAGACCTGCACCAGACTGGGAAGAGTGAACCTACAATAGGCAAGCAGCTTGGTGTGAAAAGATCAACTGTGGGAGCAATCATCAGAAAATGGAAGACATACAAGACCACTGATAATCTCCCACAATCTGGGGCTCCACGCAAGATCTCATCCCGTGGGGTCAAAATGTTCATGAGAACGGTGAGCATAGATCCCAGAACCACACGGGGGACCTGGTGAATGACCTGCAGAGAGCTGGGACCAAAGTAACAAAGGTCACCATCAGTAACACACTACAACGGCAGGGAATCAAATCCCGCAGTGCCAGACGTGTTCCGCTGCTGAAGCCAGTGCATGTCCAGGCCCGTCTGAAGTTTGCCAGAGAGCACATCGATGATACAGCAGAGGATTGGGAGAATGTCATGTGGTCAGATGAAACCAAAGTAGAACTTTTTGGTATAAACTCAACTCGTCATGTTTGGAGGACGAAGAATACTGAGTTGCATCCCAAGAACACCATACCTACTGTGAAGCATGGGGGTGGAAACATCATGCTATGGGGCTGTTTTTCTGCCAAGGGGACAGGACGACTGATCCGTGTTAAGGACAGAATGAATGGGGCCATGTATCGTGAGATTTTGAGCCAAAACCTCCTTCCATCAGTGAGAACTTTGAAGATGAAATGAGGCTGGGTCTTCCAACATGACAATGATCCAAAACACACCGCCCGGGCAACAAAGGAGTGTCTCCGTAAGAAGCATTTGAAAGTCCTGGAGTGGCCTAGCCAGTCTCCAGACCTCAACCCCATAGAAAATCTGTGGCGGGAGTTGAAAGTCCGTGTTGCTCAGCGACAGCCCCAAAACATCACTGCTCTCGAGAAGATCTGCATGGAGGAATGGGCCAAAATACCAGCTACTGTGTGTGCAAACCTGGTAAAGACCTATAGTAAACGTTTGACCTCTGTTATTGCCAACAAAGGTTATGTTACAAAGTATTGAGTTGTATTTTTGTTATTGACCAAATACTTATTTTCCACCCTGATTTACGAATAAATTCTTTACAAATCCTACCATGTGGATTCATGGATTTTTTTTTCACATTCTGTGTCTCACAGTTGAAGTGTACCTCTGGTGCAAATTACTGACCTCTGTCATCATTTTAGGTGGGGGAACTTGCACAATCGGTGGCTGACTAAATACTTTTTTGCCCCACTGTAGATTAGCAGTTAGCACACACACTGTTAGCCTGCTGTTAGCTAGTTAGCATTTCTCCTCAGCTGATGATTCACTTTTCATCAGTGAGACGGCTGCTCTGTTATCAGATGGTGCTGAGACCTGGACCTGGTGTCTGCAGTATGGATCAATTATTTATGCTGTAAAACCTGGACGAATGACGACGACAAGAACTGATTATTAAACATCTGCAAACAGCATTCATGTTACATTTCATGAAGGGAAAAGAAAGGAAATAAAATGTTAGTATGTTGTTTAGACACTAGAAATAAACTAATAGATCACCCATCAAATCAGTTTCACTTTATCATTTTTCAGATTTTTTTACAAAGATTATAGATCAGCATGTTTTATTTGCGCTTTGTCCACTGATTATGTCACTGATAAACACAAGCAGAACAGACTGTTTTAGACTTTTCAAAGGTTAAAATATGGATTCAAATTTAAAAGGTGACTCTGTGATCCAGGTGTTTGTGAGTTTTGGTAGAATCTACATGGATCTGATTGTGTTTCCGTTCTGTTAATCTCATGTATTTCACTAATATTCCTAAACGTACCAGCCAACAGTGAGAGAAGGAAATCTTATTGTATGTTATATGTGTAGTGTTGTTGGTCCTGATGAGGAGCACCTCAGGGTGCCGACTCACACATTCTTTATTATTCAGTGAAAAGCCACTGACAAGGCTCCAGCTTTGTGTAACTCAGCTGTGAGTCTGTATTTCTGCATTCATCGTGACATAATGTTCATCACTTACTTATTTCAGCTAATTTTCTTTTCATGAATCTGATGGTTTCTAATGAAAGTGGATATGACAAAGACCAGGAGACAGAAGAAAAGGAAGCAAACGGGTGAAGGGCGGAGCCGCTGACCCCTCACAGAAACCTTGCTAGGATTTTGTTTTCTTTGCATACATTTATTTTGTTCATTTAATTTAAATTTTTAGCACTTTGTTGCTTGTGGGTTGTTTTTTACATACCTGTAAATAATGACCAAAGGCCAAGGCAATTATTATCAACTTCTAGTACTAGTGCTATTTGTCAGGCGCAGTGGCCCGTGGACATGGGATGGACTCAAGCGCAGATTCAAAACCGGAGGCCAGGGGTGAGGTGTAACGAAAAGAGACTTTATTTTTACAATGCTCAGAGGCTAACAGAAAGTGCAGACTAGAATCAATGAACATAAACTAGATGTCTGAGGCGAGAGAAAAATACTGTGGTGAAAACTAGATGGCAGGGATAACTGGGTGCAGGTACTGGGCAGGGAAAACTGTGGCGGGCCCGGGCACTGAAACGGAGGACAGAGCAGTCAGGG